TATAAATTATACATTTTATATAAATTATACATTTTTATATAAATTTTTTAAGTGTTACTAAGTTCAATCCCCTTTATACATACTTTTAAGGTGTGTCAGAAAATTGGTATTTTGATATTAATTTCCTAAATTCTACAATTAATAGCAGTGCTGACTATATAAACTTTAACGAAAATGTCGTAAATCAGTAAAGCTTCCACACGACTTCCTCTTTAATGTAGAAAAAATCAAGTATGAAAAAGTATTATTTCTTCATTATATTCTTTTACTCTGTTTTCTTAAAGTATTGAATTATATGAGTCTTCTCATAGATATGTTTTCTAAAGTAGAAATGCATGCAAATAAAGCATTTAGCACAGTAGTTGAAACACAGTTAAGTGTTCAGTAAAATTGTGTCCCACTAAAAAAATATGTTTAAATGATTTAATTTCTATTTCTGTAAAACCTAGCTGGTAGAATTTGTGAGGATATGGGGAGATATCTCATATTGTATCATGTTAAGTGTCTCATGGTAGGAAGAGCCTCCATAGCTCTTTTTACTGTATTTTTAAATTTTTTTGTTGCTTTATTTCTGCCTCCATCACCGGAATGTAAACACCTTGAGAACAAGGACTTATCTTTCATTCATCACCTCATCCCCAGGGCCGGTATAGTTCCTGGCACATAGGAGATGTTCAGTAAATACTTGTTCAGTATTAGTGAATAGCTAACATTATCAGTAGCATAAAATTATTATTTTATAAATGTGTTTTATCTTTTCTACCTAATAACAAATCTATAAGCTTTTACAATTCTTTTAACTTGTAAAATAAGGAATAGAGTTTTTATTGAATAATTTGATATCAGTCACTCAGTATATATTGAGGGAGTTATTTGCAGAATGTCTAATGACTATGGACAGAGATATATTATTTAATCTTTATCCTTAAGAAGATAGTATTCTGATTCAGAGATGGGTAATACTTTATGGGGTAGCTATAATTCAAGTTGCATTTTAAGGAGGAGAGTTTAAGTTGATGTAGAGGAGGAATGAGTAAGGCCATTTTGGCAGAGAGGATAGGAAATAAGGCAGAGAAATGTAAGATGCATTTTCATACAGAGAAAATGCATCTTACATTTCTAGGATCCAAACTAGTTGGCTGGCATCAGGGGTAGATATAAAGAAGCAAATTCCACAACACAAAGAAAGAAAGAAATGGGATTTGGGGATTTAAATTTTAAGGGAAAAGTCAAAGATTTGTACTATAACTCCTCTCTATTAAAAGAGTCAGAACTCTACAACTTCCTTTTCAAGTGCCAATTTGTTTTTTAAAAAATGATTTCTCATACTTTTTTTTTTTTTTTTTTTATTTCTGGAACAGCCCCCTCCCTAGTTTTGCTGAACATACAGTCTAAAATGATGCATAAGTTTTACTCCACAATTTGTTATCTCTCTATATTAAGCCAGAGTAATGGATTGAATCCTCCAAATCTGTCATAGTGGGAATGACTTTTAAAAGTTATTTAGGGAAATTTGAAAGAATGGAACAAAAAACTCAAGAAATAACTCAGAGAAGCAGTCCATTCGGTAAACTAAGTATGCACATGTAGAACCTAAGAGAATGTCACCTTTCTCTTCCAGATATTCCAGGACTCCACAATACCATGCTGGATCTGGATAATGATGTACGTCCCTTAGTGTTGGGCCATCTTAGTCAGACAGCATCACTGAAGAGGGGCAGCAGCTTTCAGTCTGGTCGAGATGACAGTAAGTATACTTCTCCCACTTTGTCTTTGAAATTTATACTTATATAATTTCAAACATTTTTCTCTTGGGAAAGTCCATTAGTTGTGTTACTACTGCTAAATATTATTGACCATTATCTCTTCTACTTCTCAAGTAATTAAATGTAAAGTATTTAATTTTTTTAAATTATTAAAAATGTGATTAAATATGAATAAATAAATGTAAATAATTACAAGTAATTAAGTATAAATAATTAAAATGCATTTTACATTATACGTTAAATATAGGCCATTTGATTTTTTTAGTAAGTTATTGGCCACAGTCAATGTTTATTCCACATATTTAAACTCTAGTTTTTTCTGTGGTTTAATTTTTAAAAATATGCCACAGAAAAAATTCTGTGAGAACATCTTTAAGATGAAATTGGCAACAAAAGTAATTTCTGTAATCAGTACAGAGAAAGACACCTTTTCAATGAATTTTAAAATTTGGTTTGGAATGGATTACTTGGTAACTAAATTATTTGCTAGTCTTTTTTCATGAGATAAAGCATCTCAAATTCTAACTATGTTATATATCTTAACTTTCTAAAGCTGTTATTTATTTATTGTTTTATTTACCTATATGAGATATAAAATATATTGGTTATAATGCATTCGTGTGTCAATAGGATGTTGTTAGTCACTGGTTATTTATAACTTCAACAATAGAAATAAGAATCCAAATAAATAGAGTATAAAAGCACTTTACATTAAATTCAAATACCTCTAAAATTTATTTGGAAGTATTTTATGTTATTCTTATAAATGTTAGAGTAAGGAATTTTTTTTTCAAGTTTTTGTTAATAAATATGAATGAATGTTCATCATAAGAACGCCTTGAAATTAGATGATTCATTTGTACCAAATGCAAGGCTTCCATGACTCTTGATATTCCTTCATTTTGTCCTGTTGCCATTCACCCAGCCAGCCAAACACTAGTATAAACAATGGAAGAACAGAAATGTTTGCTTCTGCATACTGTGGTACAGCGTAGCCCTCTAAGCATATATACCCAGGGTCTGACCCTGGAGTGTAGTCTACCAGAGTTTTTAAAAAATATTTTCTTCCTTTAATTAGTAGGATAAATATATCAGGTCTAAAAACCCTCCACATAACTCCTTCCATCTTCTTATGTAATTCACTGTCACCGGTTATGGGCATGTTAATAGAGTAAAATAAATTAGAATTTATACTTGAGGCTGACTATAATGAATTATATCACCTTGAACAGTTCAGATTTAGACTACCTAGGTTTTGTCAAGCTTCTTGGATCTATTTTATCAAATTCTTGAAATTTTCATCAAATTTGAAAAATTATTTGGCCACAATTTTCTCAAATATTTTCTATTCTTTTCTGGCACTACAGTTACGTGTATGTTAGGCTAATAGGCTCTTTCTCCAACTCCCCAATTTTTCTGCTTTGTGCTTCCTTATGGAGTCAATTGTTATGGCTTCAACTTCTCTGATCTTTTATCTGCAATGTCTAACCTAAATATTTTAGATAGTGTATTTTTCGTCGCTAGAAGTTCCGTTTTGGTTATGGTTCACATTTCCCTGCCTTTTGGTATGGCTAATTGTTTTTATGTTTTCTCAGCCACTGTGAATATCCAGTATTGTGTCTGGGTTTTGTTGTTTTGTTTTTAAGAGTACTAGACTTCGTTTTATCAGTTACTTATCAAGAAATTTGATCCATTCAAGGCCTACTGTTAAGTTTGCTAGTGCAGGTCTAGAGTTGCCTTCATCCTAAGGATACTTCAGCCCTACTACCTAGGCATGACCTGTTGGGTCTCTACTGAATGGCCTAGGTAATTGATGAGGACTATGTTCTCAGGTTGTTAAGAACTAGAAAGTCTCCCTGCTCTCTCTGACCTCCAGAAATCCTTGACCTTATACCACATATGCATGACATACTACTCAGTAAAGGCTTAAAAAGACTTTTATGAAGATTTTAATGTAGCTCCTCCCTCTTTTCTAGAATTCTTCCATGCATTTTCCAGTTACTTCTACCTCTTTAAAATCCAACTCAGAAAGGCCACTGGCTTTATTTATGTTTCTCCTCCCTTTGCTTCTGTTGTCTAGAAATTGTCTGCAGGCAGAAAACCAAGGCAACTGTGGATTCACCACTCATTTCCCTTTCCTGTTGTTCAATGTCTGGTAACAGTTGTTTATTTATATATCTCCCAGTTTTCTAGTTGTTTTTGACTGTAGGTTAAATCTGATTCTTACTCCAACATGGCTAGAAGCATAATATAATCCAAATTTATTTTCCCTAAAATTGTTACTCGAAATTGGAACATTATGAAAGATTGCTTATGGTAAAATAATAGGCATTATTAAAGTAGAAGAAACTGAATTTTTATATATAATCAAAGCAAAATTTATGGGCCCACATACTTCTAATTTCTATCAGAAAAAAAATTGTACATTCCTGCCATTTCCCTCTTACGTTTTTTTCATCAGTCTTAGGAAATAACTCTTGAATTTCTTCTGTTAGTGATATAGTGTATGGGAATTAACCAGGACATGTTTGATTCAGTAAGAAAATCCAAAATTGTTTTTTAATTATAATGATCAGAATTTAGGTGAAGTAGACTTAGAAAGAATGAGGGGAAAGGATTCTTATTACATACATACATAAATCGTATAAAGAATCTGCTAGTAATCAAAAGATCAAATGAAACACAAGACTAAGAATTGTTCAACTTTTGTGGAAGCATGGGGTAGTGAGAGATGTCTCCAGATCTCTCCCCTTGAAACAGCAATAAGCTGAACACCTGAAACTCAACAAAAAACACCTAAACTGCACACCAGCACGTCTGAGCGTGGGATCTGCACATAAGAGCTACCACAGGTCAGAACCCCGGGTGTCGGGTGGTAGACTGGGAGAAATAAAGAAGCTGCCTCACAGCTGCCCGAGCTCCCTGCAGTATGGGGAGGGGTGAAGGTGCCGGAACATCCCTTAACAGCCCTGCCTGGGACGGCTGTAAGCTCTTTGCGCTGGGCGGAAAACAGAGAAACAGGACAGGACCGCAGAGAAACAATAATTGATTTTTAATGGCCCCAGTTGCAAAAGCGAGGCTGAGCTGCAGCCCCCAAACCCCAACCCAGAGGGCCCCTCCCCCATACACTCCGAAACTAATCACCATGGAACCCCAGGGGAATCTGAGCAAACGCTGCCGAGACTTTTGCTAAAACTGACAGGCACTGAAACTGAGGGTAGCTAGCGTGATTAAATGTCTATAAGAAAATGTTTAAGAAAGGCATTTTAAGGCTTTAAATAAAGCAGGGATCCAAGAGGCTTAGACACCACCTACTGGAAACCAAAGGAAAAGCGCCTTCTTTGCAACAGGCTAAAGAGAGACCTTTATATAATAAACCTTTCTGGAAAAACAGCAGAATACACTTCTATTAATGCTCAGGTGGAGAGATACTCCATTAAACACCATGAGCAACCAAGGTGACAAGGCATCTCTAAAGAAAGAGAAAAATCTCCAGAAAATAAGCTTACAGACATAGAAATATACAACTTAAATGACAGAGACTTCAAGATGGTACTTCTCAAGGAAACTCAAGGAGTTCTGAAACGAGTCATATCAACAATTTCAGGAATTAAAAATATAGATTAGCAGAGCAAGGAGATTGAAACTCTCAAAAAACCAGAATAGATCTTCTGGAGATAAAAAACACACTGCAAGAGTTGAAAAATGAAATAGCAAGCTTGGGAAATAGAGTCGTCCAAATGGAGGAACAGATCAGTGATATCGAAGACAGAAATCTAGAAGTAAAAAGAAGAGAGAAATTGAAGAATGAAAAATAATTAAAGAGAAATTAAACTAGCTGATACCATTAGGAGAGGAAACATAAGAATAATGGGCATTATCGAAGGCGAAGAAAAGGAGCAGGAACTAGAAAGCACTTTCAGACAAATAGTGAATGAGAATTTCCCAAATCTAATGAATTCAAGAAGTCAACAGAACACCCAATTATCTCAACTCAAAAAGGCCTTCACCTAGATATATTGTATTAAAGTTATCAAAAATCAACAACAAAGATAGAATTCTCAAGGCAGCCAGGGAGGAAAAAAAATGATAACTTATTAAAAGTAAACCCATTAGATTATCCTCAGACTTCTTAGCGCAAATGTTACAAGCAAGAAAGGAATAGAATCAAATATTTAAACTACTGAGTAAAAGGAACTACCAGCCTAGAATAATGTATCCAACTTAGTTCTCCTTTAGATATGAAGGAGAAATTAAGGCTTTTCCAGACATACAAAAACTCAGGGAATTCTCCACAACGAGGCCTGCACTACAGGAAATACTGAAAGGGGTCAGTTTCCCTAAAACAAAATGACAAAAAATAAAAAACTTAATAAGGACTAAAGTGACTATCATGCAAATAGAAGCAGAGGAGTGCAACCCTTACAAAGAACATTATAAACTTAAATAATAAGAAAATTGTTATAACAAGATAATAATGAACATTCAGCATACATAGGAACAAATAGAGATAACAAAGACTGAAAAGGAGAGGATTAAAAGATCCAAATCTGTAAAGGGGAATGGAAATAAGGCACACACAGAAGAAAATAGATGACTATATTTATAAAACTGTCCTTTTCATATTCATAATGGTAACCACATGCCGAAGATTTCAGAACTGAAGTATATAACATAAAACAAGAACCAGAGGCAAAACCCACAAACTAACCTGAATAAATAAAACAGAAACACAAGGGCAAAGAAGCAATGGAAACACCGAACTACCAGAAAGCAAAAAAAATGTCTATAAGAATTCTTATTTCAAAAATCACCGTAAACGTAAATGGATTGAACTCACCAAAAAAAAAAGGCACAGAGATGCAGAATGGATCAAAAAACAAAACCCAGAGATCAAAAAACAAAACCCTGAGATCAAAAAACAAAACCCTGAGATGTGTCAGGAGACACATCTCAGCTACAAAGACAAATATAGACTCAA